AAAGCGTGCAGTAACTCCGGACAAGTTCTTCTCATTCAAAAATCAATTTCTCGCCTCCCTAATTGAGATGAAGGAATGAAACCAAAGCTTACCGATTGAGAAGTATATTTTTAATAAATGACATCGGTGTCATTTCTCAATCTCAGATAGGAACGGAGGAATGAATTTTGAAAAGCGCGGAGAAACTCCGAACGGCTTTCCGATGTCGAGTGAGCCCGGAGGGGCTCCCCCGATTGGAAAATTCATTTCTCCGCCCCCCCTAATTGAGAGAAAGGAATGAAACCGACGCCGATCGATCGAGAATTAAATCCTCAATGAACGACAACGGGTTCATTCCTCAATCTCACGTAGGAGCGGAGGAATGAATTTTCAAAAGCGCAGAGTAACCCCGAACGGCTCTTCGGAGGGCCTCCCCCAATTGGAAAAGTCATTTCTCCCCCCCTAATTACGATGAAAGAATGAAAGCAATATCGATCGATGGAGAATTATATTCTCAATAAATGACAGCGGTTTCATTGCTTAATTTCTATTAGGAGAGGAGGAATGAATTTTAAAATCGTGCAGTAACTCCGGACAAGTTCTTCTCATTCAAAAATTAATTTCTCCCCTCCCTAATTCAGATGTAGAAATGAAACCAATGCCTACCGATCGACAATTGTATTTTTAATAAATGACATCGGTTTCATTTCTTAATCTCCGTTAGGAGCGGAGGAATGAATTTTCAAAAGCGCGGAGAAACCCCGAACGGCTCTCCGACGTCGAGTGAGCTCGGAGGGACTCCCCCGATTGGAAAATTTATTTCTCCCACCCTAATTGAGATGAAGGATTGAAGCCGATGCAGATCGATCGAGAATTAAATTCTCAATAAATGACAATGGTTTCATTGGTTAATCTCAAGTAGGAGCGGAGGAATGAATTTTCGAACGCGCGGAGAAATCCCGAACGGCTCTCCGGCGTCGAGTGAGTCCGGAGGGGCTCCCCTGATTGGAAGATTCATTTCTCCCCCCCCCCTAATTGGGGAGAGGGAATGAAAGCAACATCTATCGATAGAGAATTAAATTCTCAATAAATAACGGCGGTTTCATTTCTTAATCTCAAGTAGGAGCGGAGGAATGAATTTTCAAAAGCGCGGAGAAACCCCGAACGGATCTCCGACTAGTCCAATGAACGTTGGTCTAACATACGAATGTTTGCGATACAGGCTCCATTTTTTTATGGAATTTGTGATTTGGGCGTATGAAACTAATGGCGGATATTTAAGGTTCCCCAAGTTTGTACGGGGGTTGAAAAAGCCAAAAAACTACCCCTGAAAACAGTTTTTTCGAAATAACTCGTGAATAACGCTCTGTGCGTCCAAAAACGTAACACACAAAGTTGTAGAGATCAAAATTCTACACAAAAAATGTTTAGGGCACTTTACCCCTATTCCCAACCGTTCATCCCCCAGAGCCGCGTGAAGATCAGATGGGAAAAAAAAATGATTTCCATTAAAAAAATTGAAGTTGATGAATTTTTTTTTTTTGCAATTCGGAATATCAGTGTTTTTTTTTCAATAGCTTGTTTATTCATTCAGAGCGAATCTAATATATGTTGCTATTTATATCTTGACATTGAATATTTATATTTATTTATTATATTGAATGTTTAATATTTTATTTATTTAATGAATTCCTTTTTTTTCCATATTTTTTATTAGAAAATTTACCTCAAATTTTGTCTTGATCGTACCCGCGAATCTCCTATGGGTTCAAAGTTGAACCCAATTTTTTAGCTCCAATCCCTAAATCCGGCGCCGTGAATGAGAACCTTTTGTGCGA